AAGACCTTTGATGAGATGGATCGATTCTGTGACTGGAGCGTGGGAATAAGTGCGTTTGAGATGGCTAGGTTGGCACAGGATAGAACAGCATTTAGAACTCTTGTACATAGGGTCACTATGAGTTCCAGATGACACATAACAACAACAACTATGTGTTGGAGAACATGAGTAAAAGGAAAGGAGATGAGAGGAAGCTCCATGAGAGGGTGGCCTGGCCATCCTGTTTCCAGGAAAATGTCTTTGTCCAACTGCAAAGAGCTTAACCATCCTGTGACCAGAGTATGTAACCAAAAGGTTCCTTCCTTCCTCTTCCAGCTACATGATTCCTTTGTAATCTTGCATTTCCTGTTTACTGACACAAGTTAAAAGTCACCAGGAGAACCGGAGTGTATACTTTAAATGGTGAGGTAGTCATGGAGATGGAGGAAAACAAAACTCATATGGAGAAGCAGTCACTTTTCCCTGCAAGGAGTCAATTCTAAATGGGTGCCTCCACCAAGGGACTCTCAGAGACCCAACTTCATGACCCCCCCCCAAAAAAAACCTCTGGACTTGACACAGTCAAAAACGAGTGGTGAAAGTAGTACTGAGAGTGCAAATACCCCACACTCTAGAAAGGTGTGAGTAGAAGTTTTGACAAGTGTGGTCTACCTGATCCAGATAGCTTTCGGGGTCACACAACAATTGACTAACCTAAAGCATTGCTTTTATTGGGTGAAAGGTATCCTCTCTTCATTTGCATAAATGTGTCCTATGCTCCTGTGTGTTATCTTCCACCCCACGGAGAGTTACATGCAGGGCGTTCTCCTACCTCTCTACTTCATTGTTCTCCTCCAGAATTTGCTCCAGCCTAATAGCAGACCTCCAGGTCAAGATGGCAGACACCAGCTCCTTGGTACCATGCAAGAGAGAGGCAGTGACTCCTTACAGGGCTCCAGAGAAACAGGATTAGAGTTATTGTTGTCTAGTGCCTTTGGGGTGACTTGGACCCTTCAAGGCCCCACATATTACAGAGTAGAACTTCTCCATAGGTCTTTTTTGGCTGTGATCTTCATCCGAACATCAGATAGATGGGTAGGGAGATACCCAGGGCTCCAGACAATCAGAATGAAAGTAACTCAAAACAACCCATGCATCTGAGCCAGAATTTTCCCCAGCACAGTATCCGCTGCAGGGAGCAAAGCTAGCATGTCCTCGGCCTTTTTAGAGTGGATCTCCCAACAGGGAAACATTGTTTTGTTTTCAATCATTAACTTTTGCCGTTAATGATATTGAAAATATTCCTAGCAGAATATATACTAATTCAACAATCTTTATATACAGAACTCATTGACATAATAGTAGCATTGATTACACTCTTGAAATTGTGCAACTTTTTTAATCCTTTTTTCCAAACTATGCCTCCACCATTCACAAGAACTCACTCTCCTCTAAGTTTTTCCTTTAATCTTTCAATTTGCTGTTGTCATTTTGACCTCATGTGTTGTTACTGTCATGTGCCATTGAGTCAACTTTGATTCACAACAACACAATGGCTCTGTGTTCTATTGTAAGCCAACTTTTCAATCTCTGACACACTTGACCCCATTGCCAC